ACTCTTGGTTATTTTTTTTTGAGGAGCAAAGCGGGGGGGAGGTTTGTGGCTGAAAGACAGAATGCTGAAAATAAAGCAAGTCAGTGAAAAGAAATCCCTAAAGGAGGAAAGCATTTGCCAGGGCTTGGAGAGAAGCACTGTGTTTTCAGGGGCAGGATAAATTGGTAAAAGAGAGGTAGAGTCTGCTGAGACTTGAGTCCCCGAGAAGCTGGAGGGATCTCTGCCTTCATCATAAAATTCATCCTGGGTGCCTGTATGAGACAGTGTCAACGCAAAGGAGACATCTCTCTTCTTTCTCGAGTTCTTTATTTGTGTGAAAGGCCGGTGTATTTTCCCAAAGGAAAAGCGTATCTTGGGAACGCCAGCGTGACGTTGTGGTCGCTCCCGTTTTCACACTGGTGTGTACTTATTTGGGTCTGCCGATGTAAAATCTGTTCTACCTTTGCTTGCCACTTCACGCATTTATTTTCACTTCAATTTCTGAAGCAGTGACATTGTGCACTGTATTTTGAGTGCTAATGTTGATTGAAGTTCTCCCTGAAAGGATGTGCACTTGAACTGTCAAGAGAGCGAGTGATTGACAGCAGGCAGAAGTACTTTTTGTGTCAAGGCTTTGTCAAGTCATTGTTGTAAAACCTGCTTTACTGAATACCAATAATTCCTGCTAGGTGTTCAATCAAAAGATACTCTGTTCCAGCACCATTTTAGAATAATATTTAATACTTAAGAGTCCTTCCCTAATAGGCAAATGTAAGGTAAGCGAATAACGGCACTTCACGCTAGGTTAGCCCATCTGGGGGGCTCCGGTGAGCGTATTTGCAGCCCAGGAAAAAGGGAAAAACTCTTTTCATTCCTTTGTACACTGATGCTGAGAGAATCTGAGTGTGGGAGTTTGTTTAATACTGTGTCTTCTGCTTATTCAGCACATGTTCCATAATAAAGATGTTTAATAACTCACAGCTGTTGATTTTTTTTTCTGTAGGAAACGTTCCCTTTTCTTTCTGCGAACACATGCTTTAAAATAAATGAAATAATTTTATAAGTATTTTAAAGGTTTTTAAATAGTCTATATGTTTAATAATCAAAGCTTACTATTCTCAAAATCACTTAAACCACTGGAGGAAGCTTGAAATGTTGCACTCCCTTTATTCATTTTTGCATTGATACTTCTTTTTTTCTTCTTCTTCTGTCAAAATGCTGTGTAAGTAGAATTCCCCTGTTTGGCTTGTTGAAAGGCTAACGTGAACAAGGCCACACCGCTGGGCATGCAGAATTTGACTAAGGCCTTTTGTTACAGGTAATTGCCAGCTGAGGCCATGAGATAGTGTGGAGTGTGAGTTTAACGCTGAGGAATTGCCACCTAGGGCAATTTTCTGGGGATCCGGGGTCATTATTTGCTTTACAAAAGAGATTCCGATTCCACTGACGTTATTTTTGGTTACAGAAGAAATTTTTAAAAGAGTTTTTCTAATCCAATAGGAAGACTGAAAATCACTCTTTTCAGATACCCGAAAGCTATCTGCTCAAAGCTATCTGCTTCGAGGCTGTATCGGATTTTTAGCACTTCTGCTTGATCACTGTAACAGAAGTAATTTCATTTCAGTCTACCTGGACAGTGAAAAGAATGTAATTGTTTTGTCTGCAGAACTCGTACAACTTTACAAATGTCAGAAGTGCTTTGTTGTTCTGGGGATGCACAAAGAGGGTGTCTCAGGCAAATGAATGAAATGCTGTCTCATAGATGGAAACTTCATAAAAAATATGTGCCGTATTAAAAAAGCTGGCTGACAGCAGGGATGGTTTGGGTAAAAAGTAAGCAGTAGTAGAAATACGTTTGTTGATTCTTGTTAGTTCTCTGGGCTTGTAGAAGTAGTAAATCTAGGGGAAAAATTACAATGTTAAAAATGCAACAAGTGTTGGGGTTTAATTACTTTACAGGAAAAAAAATTGCGGAGAGGATAACTTGCAATAGCCAGGTGCTCTCTTAGGGAGTTGACTGAAGGGCTCGTTTAATTTGGGGCTATTATAATCCTACTGTATATAGAAGGTGGAGGGGCAGTTGGATCCGGTGATGATCTTGTCAGGTCTGGAAGAGCCATATGTACGTATTCCGTGTAAGGACGTGTTGTGGGTTGTTGCTTTGGAAATACGCCTGTGTTCATACTCCAAATGCATGTCCTACGAGTTTTCATTAAAAGGCATCTCATAGATAAGGCGTTCCAGTGTAGTCCTGGACTAACAGGTTTTTGAGTTTGGTTTTAACGGTTTAGCTCGTGGAAGGAGCAAATTCAGGCATAGCAGGCCAAAGTCTGCCCCAGTTCTTATCTTTTAGGGCTCCCAATTGTATTTTCTGGGGCTATGGGATACAGTAAGGCTTGCGTTTGGTCCAGGATGAGTGATCGGAACAGTAAGGCAGATTGTATAGCTCAAGAAGAAATGTTCAGCATTTGCATTGAGTAAGTAAAAGCATAGAAAGTAAAGGTGGAAAAAGTACAGATGCACCAAATGGAAAGAAAGGGAAGATGAAGTAGAAGCAGCAGTTAGAGATTTTATCTTCTTGCCTTTAGTTTCACATCTTTCATGATTTTTTAACACCCCAGCAAAGATAGATGAGTTAAAAATACGTTGAAATGTCTACAGGGATTCAGTATAAGCCCACCTGACTTCATCATACAGATCCTGGGAAGAAGTTTATTCACGTGTTCCTAAAGAACCTGTTGCTGCGTAGTTTGCAGCAGGGGTTTGTCTATGTCCTGCAACCCTTCGGAAGGGATGCTTTGTCTCACCTTTTCGTGGTCTCGGCTCCATTCTTCATGGGAACCCGTGTCTTTAACGACTCGCGCCAGCTGAGACGTGTAGTGTTTCTTACCAGTGATGTTTAACGTGGGTTGTCGCTTTTTCTCTCAAATTCAGGTTGTGAAAGGCCTTACCTATTTATGGAGTCTAAAGATTTTACACAGAGGTGAGTAACAGATGTTTTCTGTTTTCCAATGAAATACCATGTTATTTTATTTTAACAACACTTTCTGCAGAGGACCATACTAAAATCTGGTTTGATTCCAGAATGAGTCTTACTTATTAGCCTTGCAGATTTTCTGATAAAATGTTTTTAGTGCTGTTCTCTTTTATTGCCCTCCCTCCTCTCCTACAAAGAAAAAGCCTAAAGAGAGAAATGAATTTTATAGAGATTTAGATGCTTAAGGTTATAAACAGGTGCCCAGTAGAAGCATCAGCGAGGAAAATCAGATGTTTGACTAGTATTGAAAAGAGAAGATAGATAATGAATTTTCTTGTGTACTTCAGAAATCTCACAATGCAGCCACAAGCATTGCTAGAGTCTCAGATCTCTAAAATTACGGCCCACCGTCCTCTAACGTGGTCAAGAATAAGTAAAGAAACTTAAGCCTGCTTGGACATAAGGCATTTTCCAGTTTTGCTGCTTATTCTCTTTCCTGAGGCTAATCTGTTTTTTTTTTTAAGCTTCTCATTTATTTCTTGCTTTTTGCTGTTGTTACATTTTGTTTAAAATTTACCTATCGTGGTAAGTTCTAGTATATCAGAATTAACTTTCAAAAACAGTGT